TGGAAATGAAGTTAAGGCCTCTTAGAAATCTTAAAGTTGAGATTCTAAAAACACTATTTTCCACAGTTTGGAAAAATCTAATACCATTTCTCTCTTGGTTTTGAGATCTATCTGAGACAGGTGTTGTTTTCTCCTTTCAGACTAAGCAACAACAAGACACACTTTCCTTTCCCCTAATTTCTCTTAGAAGAAAGTGACATTTGCCTATACAGTTCTATTTTTTTCCTTTTGGTTTTTAATTATAAAAAGCTTCTAGCAGCTGATTTATTATATAGGGAACAAATTGTGTCTTTGAGACCCACTGCACGGTAATTACTTGAGTTAGCACTGCAGATATCTACGCAGGGGCCAGCAGTCAATTTTGACTCAGAATAGATAATACACGGACTGCTATTAAGTTTAATGTAGATTAATGTGAGTTGCTTCCCTTTGCACGTATGTATGCAGGTACCAATAATTAAGATTAATTTCCACTAGATAGAGTGGCCTTCATTGTGCATGGTGCCAGAAAATGCTTCTTTAATAGCTGTTAATTGGATATATTTGCTTTGATGGTGAAGTCCTGATTAGTCTTGTTACCCTGAAAACTCCCCTCCTTGCTCCTCCCACCCACCCCACCTGCTCTTCAGGAGAAGAGATTGACAATGGCAGAATCAGAGCTTTGGAGGTGAGGGATTCCTTCATACCCCCATATCCAAGCCCAAGCTGTGCACTCTATTTCTCAGTGAATCAGTCCTGGCTGCTTCCACTACCTGAGGTCCTACTATGTGCCAGGTACTTTATTTCTATGCTCATTCTCAATGACAACCCTGAGATGGAAATTACCACCTTATTCACACAAGCAAGAAAACTGAAGTCCAAAAGAGTTAGGGCATTTGCCCAAGGCTGTAATAGGAATCCCGAGAACGGGGATTCCAGGCTTGCACTTTCTGAATAAACACATAAGAAATTGCCACACTGTTGTCTTATCAGCACTGTTGTCACTTTCCCTTTGCCTCTGCACGTCTCACAGCCTAAACTGAAGACCCTCTACCTTTCTCTGCATCTTTCTTCTCTGTAACTTCCCTTCCTCCCTTTACTGGGTGGTTCAAGACCAATTAGAGAGAAGCATGAATCAAAAGCCCAGCCATTTTTTCAATAGTTCCAAAAGGCTGGTTTATGTAAGAAAAAGGTGTGGGTCACCAATAGTTCTAGGCAGGATTTTTACTTCTCTCTAGAGGTAATACCTTTCCCATTTTCATTAGACAGCGAGAACTTCCTTTTTTATATCCTCATGTACTTTATGTTGAACAGGCTGAGTCTTATTTGTGCACAATGCATGGACCAGAAGTGTTTTGTATTCAGTCTTTTTTTAGATTTTGGAATATTTGTATATATCTAATGAGACATCTTGGGGATAGATCCAAGACTAAACATGACATTCATTTATGTTTCAGATACATCTCATATACCTAGCCTGAGAGTAATTATATACAGTATTTTTAGTCAACTGTATTTTAAGTGTGACTGGTCATACAAGGTCAGGTGTGGCATTTCCCACTGTGGTGCCATGTTAGCATGCAGAAAATTTCAGATTTTGGAGCATTTTGTATTTTCAGATTAGGGATGCTCAACCTGTATGGTACTCTTATAAAAGGCAAAATATGTGGCAACAGTGAGCTATAACCAGCTACTATTGACTAAGTCCAGTGATGGAGGATGAAGTCAAGAGACTCACATAAGAAAGGAAAGCCCGAAGATGAACTTTGCCTCTCTCAATTTGTTTCAAGATTTCTGGAGTCCTTAGGCGACTTGAGATAAGTGATTTAAGGGGTCCAGTGGGTGCTGGTTGCTCTCATGTGATGCTATGCAGGAATTCTAGGAGAGCTGAAGTGGAGTCTTGCCTCTGTCATGGATGAGCTGTGTGACCTCGGTCAACTTATTCAACCAATCTGAATCTTAGTTTCTGTTCTTCCAATACCACCTGATGCACAGGATCCCTCCATCCAGAGGAAATGAATAATTTGTATCAAGTACTGCACTTAATGCAGGATATTTGATAAATATAATTTTCCTTTTCATTTCTAGCGACTGTGACCGTATTGATGGATTTAAGGAAGGGGTAGCAACAGTCTTCACAATGTTTTTCCTAGGGGAATGAAACTTATACTGGGACAGGAAAAAATTGTCTTTGAGTCTCTTTAGTAGTATTCATTCAAATCCTTCTTCATATGTAAAGCTGGACTCAGTCACTGGGTGCCAGTAGTTTCTTGAATGGACAGTGTGTCACTGTGTGGGAATGTCTTACACATTAGGGCACATCAGCTGCTCTTCCCACTAATTATCTAAGCCCTTCAGTCATTGCAGAACTCATTGCCACATTTCTGAGACCCTCAGGGAGCCCGCATGCTCTCATACCAATTGATAAGCACTGAGTGTTCTGTTATTCCCTGTTGGTACCCCAAAGTTCTTTCCTTGAGGTGTTCTAAGTCAGGCTTACTTCTCAGCAACAGCATCTGATGGTCTGAGGAGGCCACTCATGAACAAGGCCCTGCTGAAGAGCAAACAGTACCCTGGTCATGCACAGGCTTAAGGACTGCTCTTACTACCCTCCTTCCTTCCTCATGATTAGGTGGTTGATATTAGCATAGCTTCTACATCCTCACTAGGCAAAATCTGGCCAAGGAGCATACAGAAGAGACAAGGTGAAATGCTGTGATCTCTTACTTGATACTCTGTTCCCATGTGGCTTTAAGTTGAAAGAAGAGATTCAAGTCTTATGTCCTTTCTGAACACCACTGGATTGAGTGCTCTGTATACTAACAAGGAACCTGAGAAGAATTGTATTAACATTTGCAATACATTACATGAGCAGGGAGTGGGACTTGGAGGAGCAGGACCTGAGAAAAGCTCATGTGATGCACCTCAGTGCCACAGGAGTAAGCATAGAGTTGAGTGTTTGGATGGAATGAGCTCTTGTGGATGGCTGCTCTGTCTTGAATGACCTGCATAAGTCATGAGTACTTTCCCAGGAATGGCCAGTATACCACTGTATACCAACTCCACATTTGGAGCATGCAAATAGTAGGAACAGTGGGGTCAGGTAAGACATCATAGCATGTCTTGAGACATTGGTCAGGATATGGCCCCATGCAGGGCTTCTGATGATGTCTGGAGCATTTGTGAAGGTGAAGACAGCTGCCTCAACAGCTGCTCATAGACTAGGCTTTACTTCATTTCATTATCAAAGGCATTGTCCTGACCCAAGATATAGACCAGCATTCTGGCTTTGGGGAATTTAAGATGAGAGTGTGGGTGGGTGGAAGGATAGGTGGAGTGGAAATGGATGACAAGAACAAAGAAGGAAAACAAAGGAAGAAATAGACAGACAAGCCTGGAGTGCATAATTAAATCAGAGGTGCTCTGGGCAGTTCTGGGTTTCATGCTCAAAAATAGTCATGTGGAGACAAAGAAGATCCACAGAACCATGAGAACCAAGGGCAGGTTCATAAAAGAAAAGCAAAAGAAGAAATATAAATCAAAAAATTTATCCCCACACTCAATGTGAGGTGAGATGTGCTTATGGCCAATATATGGACATGCATAAGACAGCTCAAGGACAGTCTTAGATCTCTTGGATCTAGTGTAAGAATCAAAATGCTTCAAGATGGTAGTTTTAACACAAATGAAAAGGAACATTACTTTTCATTCTATTAAATTATTATACAGAACATACAGTGGTTATAGATTGGAATTATGACTGGGACTAAATAGGTAGAATTTACATGGAAACTTAACAGAAAATGTATCATTAGGAGACTGTCCAGTGACAAGGCAGATCTTTTTGAGACATCTTGTCCAGTGACAGGCAATGAAAGTGATTCCTGCATTGGTTAGATCAAATACCTCATTTTAATTCCTCTTCTTTTATTCTTAGATTTGTGTTTCTATAATCACAGATTTAGAAAAATGTTAATGTAGCAGATCTTATATACATTCTTATTGAAGACTGAAATATGGTATAACATACATCTATGGGATAACGTGTTGAAGGGATGAAGGGAAGAAGGAAAGGACAAAGGGGAATTAACTTGTGTTGTGCTCAGTCCTGTGCTGAAGTTTATAATGTCTCCTTTAATCCTCACAATTACCTTGTGAGGTAGGTACAATAAACCTCAATCTTAAAGATGAAGAAGTAGATGCTCAGAGAGGGTAAATATCTTGTCTGGGTGGGCACAGTTAGTAGCACACATAGCTTTTTTGCCTGCAATTTGTAAAACCTAATCAAGCTCTCTTTGCCATGCCACATACCTCCCAAGTTCCCTCGGCTTGTATTTCCCTGGGTGCTGGTATCCAGCATGACTCTGGCAACAGAGCCCTTGGGTCTGAAGTGGCCCTATTTTGCTTCTACTGTTCTCTACAGAATGCTTATCCTTTAGGCAAGGCTGCCTAATGGTTGGTGAACTAGAATGGATGTAAGTATCCATTGGCCATTTTCTGGCTTTACTCAAATGCAAAATGAGTATAAATCTCTCCCAATCATCTGCTTAACAAATATATAATCCAAACGCTAAAAATCACAATTGAATAACACTCCATTACTTAGAATTTTTGGTATAATATTTTGATCCACAAGTCAAAAAACAAGATTCTTCTTTCAAGGACAGCTTTTATTTTTCTGTGTTTTAGTTGCTTTATTTGCAAAGAAAAAAAGAAGGAAAGGTGAAATTATGTCTGACAGTTTTCATGCTATATATTTATTATGTGATTCATAATAATAATTATTATTATATTAATATATCAATACACATTATATATACTTATGCTAATATCTAGATCAATATTTTCTCATTTACACTAACATCGCAACAATGATATAATTAGTCAATAATCCAAAACCAAAAAGTACTTTAAAACCTATTTCTTGGCTATAAAGTATATTATTTAGTGGTCTTTTCATAGATTTATTTAAAATAATAATAAATCAAATTTTACTTTCTAGTAACATCCTGATTGGGTGATGTAAGTCTGAAGTCTAGGACCACTGAAAGAAACCCACTGGAGTCGAAATAAAGTTGTTTGCAGAGTCCAGGCCATAGCATACATTTCTGCTGTAGTCAAACAGGACTGGATTGGGTCCCAACTGTCACATTTCCTGACAATCCCTTGGGCATTTAACTTACCTTTTCTGAGCCTCAGTTTCCTCACTGGAGAGTAGAGACCACAGAACCTATCTTGCAGGATTGCTGAGGGGGGGAATTGTGCACATGCCGTGCCTGGCACAGGCTGTTGTACCACAGACACCACACTGTCAGGCAGACCCTCATGTCCGTGCGCACCTGTGCTCTCATGGGCTGCAGTGGCTCTTCTCTTGGGTCAGCATGCTGAACAGGAGAACCAAGAGGCATTTTGGTTCTTCGAGTGAGAGACATGACTACCTTATTTGTAGAAATCAAAGTCTCTGAAATGTACCTCCAGAAAAGCCATTCCCCATTTGCTTTTAACCCTACTTGAGGGTTCAGGGGATTTCTCCCCTGCCCCTCTAAATGCCCCATCAGAGAGCTTCAGCCTACTCTGCTACAATAGCGAGGATTCCTGGAGCACCCTGCCAGCCAGCTCTCCAGCCAAGATGGGGTTAAAACCAACATTTGCAGATAAAGAGGTAAACATATTTACATTCCTCTCTTCACACCTTATGCATATGTCATGCAGTGAATAGTTTTAGAGGTCTGTTTGTACTATCTCTCCAGAATTTTTACAGTCTGCAGGACACAAAATCTCTATAAAGTGACTTATTGAAATAGAAGCAGATTGGTAAAACCGTTTCCCTCTTATGAACTGTGAAGAATGATCCTCTAAATGAAATCAGGAAGGAACTGGACAGAATCTTGTTTAATGGTCTGACAAAATGAATCACAATGATTCCAGACATCCATCACTGCTAAAAGGGGACCACAAATGATCTGTGAACCACTATATATTGATTACCCATGTAGTACAAGTGTCGGATTTAATGTTCACACACCATAGAGAGGCGGCAGGGACAGATGGTGCCTTAACTCTTCTTTGATAGATTTTAATGGTGAAATATTGATTTCTATCTGGCCAAGGCCTGCTGTTAGGGGCCAAAGTCATTTGTTGGGTATTGCCGGACACCCAGTTGGCCCAGCGTAATCAATCATTTTTGGCAAGGCAGGTGAAAATCCAAAGAGAAGCACCTTGGAACCCAAGCTGGAGTGTGATGTTTCTGAGTCCAGCTACTGGGGAGGTGGGGGGGGAGAGAGAGAGAGAGAGAGGGAACTCTTGGAGACTGGGCTTGTAAAGAATTATTAATGATAAGACATGTTTACTGAGGAGAGTTGCAGCGAATCAGAGCTGACATGAAATAGTCTGGGAGCTTCGTGGAGAAAATGAGCCTCTTGCTAAGAGGGACTATATTTTATTTAAACATCCTTCTAAGGCTGAGAACTCAGGTAATCTGTTGTGTTACAAGCCACTGGCTGTTCTTGCCATCCAGAGAGATAACACTGAGGCACTAATAGGAACACATCAATCACAATCAGGCTGCAATTCCAGTGGTGTCTCGTCCTCCCAGCTCCTCTTTAAGCTCCTTAATAATGGTGATAACATAGTTCGGGGGCTGTGAGGGGCTCTCCCCTCTGAGGGTCATATTCATAAAGTGAAGAGCTTGCCAAGTCAGCGCCCAGGAAAGTGGTTCTACATGCCGGGGGGACCCGTGTGCGGGGAGAGAAGGAAGGCCAGGCACCAGCTGGGGAGGGCTGGAATCCACCAGGAGAATTTTCTGTCATCTGTTAGTCCCTGAGTTCCATGACGTCACTCCTGCCTCCTTCCTAAGGAAGGGGTGTGAGTGTGTGACTTATGTGTAATTATCAAGTAACAAGACTCATTTTCTTGGGCAGCTTATAAAATGGCTCTGAAGGTGACTCCCATATGGAGCCGTCCACATGTTTGGGGTGATGCAACCTCACAGAAATACACATGTGGCTTCCCAAGGAAGACTCAGGGTGGGGAGAATCAGGCTGGTTGGGAGGGTGGCAGGATGGGACCGGCTTCTGCAGCTCAGTATCAGCCTCTCACCTTCCACCCACAAGATTAAGCATCTATTTACCCATGTGACTCCCTTGTAAGCTGCAAACTATTTGCAGATGGCAGCTATCATATCCCCAGGACCCCAGCAATAGCCTAGGATCTCACAAGATACTATGAGTATGGCTGAATATACAGCAGGCTGGTATTTGTGTTGAAGTCAGCCATACTGCTCTGCACTTTTTGAATATTCACACAAATATATGTGTGTGATGTGTACGTGCATATATTCATAAAGTAAGGCATTAGCCTTATAAAGACATGTGACACACTGCATGTTTCTATGTGTGATTTACTTTTTGTGAGACAGCCTAGCATGGTGGGTGACAGCCTGAACATTAAAGCCAGAATGCTTGGATTTGAATACTGGCTTGATCACTTATTAATGGGTGAAATAGGGATACCACTAATCCTGAGGTCTAAATGAGTTAGTAAATATTTTGAGGTCTAAATGGGTTAGTAAACATGGAGAATTTATCAAAGTACCTTGCCTACATAAGTATAAAAGTTCTATGTTATATATTTTGGCTTACATTAAATATTTGCCATAATATTATATCCAAAATATACTTAAATGAATGCATATATGTGCATAGAAAACCTTTACATGGTTGGTATTACGAACCCTAAAAATATCTGCCTTGTTCCCTGTGGCCTATCAAGTCTTCACTTTGAGCAGTAAGTTCATTTTGATGGTGGTTTGGTAAGGCAGCACATATTTTGATCTATTAGAAATTTTTGTACTGTTGTGTGCTTTCATATTGGGGCCTCAGTAAGTCTGTTTGTCTCCCCAAACCTGTGCACAGGTGTGTGTCCTAGCAGCACAAGTGCATGTACTGGTGCGCACATAAAAAGGCCCTGCTGGGCAGGAGGAGCTCAGCTTTTGGACCGCCCAGCTGTGCAACCTTCCCGCAGATGTGAGCGTGCAGGCAGCAGATTCCGCTTAGATTATCTTGCTTACCTAATGATTTTTGCTTCACTGCTCTGCTCGATTGTGTTCACCAGGACGGCAGGCTATTAAAATGTCAAGGCACATTGAATTGTTGCTATCCAGGAGAGAGACCTTTCCAATCAACCTGTGTTGTGGGGGTTGCATAAACTCGGAGAAGGCGATTGGAGAGAGGCTTTATGGCTTTTTTTACATAGATGAGGGTGAGCAAGGAGGCTGGGAAAGACCACCAAGAGGGGGAGGAGAGGTGGAGCAGGAGCTGGGGTTAGGGCAGCCCAAATGCGCTAATTAAAATGCCATCTTCTTAAACACTTATTGGCGGCTCCTGGCCTTCGCTTTTATGGGTAACTACAAGACACCTTGCTTTGCCAAGCTGAGGTGTAAAGAAGGGCGAGGGGGAGGGGACTCAGTAAGTGGGGCCTGGGGGATGCCCTGTTGAGGGTCTGGGTGGGGTACAAGGAGCACCATTAAAAGGCTGAGACACCAGCAGTTGTATGCCTGGTTGCCAGGAAGGGCGAGAGAAAGCAAGGTTCCCTTTACCCTGCGCCTGTCTGCACTGCGGAGCGCCGCGTCCTGCGCACCTCGGACAGCTGTGGCATTTCGGGTGACAATACTGAGCCACAGGCCACAGTGCTACCAGCGGCACCTTTGGTCCGGCCCGCCTGTGCCAGCTGGGACAGCCTAAAGAGCTTCTTCTTTTTATGCCGCCAAGTCTCATATTTCCAAGGATTTATTTTCCTTCAGGGAGAAAGGAAGAGCAGGAGCAAAGGACGTTCTCATAAAGTATCTAGCTATCAGAGCCGCTCAAGGGTCCAACCAGAAACTCAAATTTCCCTGGACTGACTTTCCTCAGGGTTCCCCTCCTCTCACCAATAGTTGGCTTTGCTGGGCCACGTCTGTTTCATTCTTGCTGCCGAGATGCGGCTTTGTTTTTTGCCTGTATGACCCTAGCAGCCCTCTGTGATCCCTCCCTGGCCTCCCGTGTGAGCCATTGGCTGGCAGGGCTCGGGCTCGCCTCTCTCGCTTTTGTCAGTTTTATCAGCCGGAGTTTTTTCGCTGCGCGCCTAGGCCCGAGGGCCCACGGGCCCACCCACGCGCACGCGCGCGCATGCGCTCACCGCCCCCGCCCCAGCCTCGCCCCTGTAAAGCGCACCTTCACTCTTTCTCTGGTTCCTTACCCTGGACGGGCTGCGTCCTCTCGCGCTCTCCACTTTGTTCTAGATCGGGCTCAGCCCACTCTTGGAGCTTAAAGCGAACCTCCAGAACACGCTTACCCCTCTCCCTCTCCCTCAGGTGACTAGTCTGCAGTCTCTGTGAGACTCCAGATTCCCCTAGCCTGTGGTCGGTCCTCTTTTTCTTTTTTCTTTTCTTTTCTTTTCTTTTCTTTTCTTTTCTTTTCTTTTCTTTTCTTTTCTTTTCTTTTCT